TTAAACTGAGCTGAAAGCTGATTAAATAGGAACGTTTTCAGCCTGTATTTAAAAGTGTCCAGTGTTGGGGCTCTTCTAATGCTGTCTGTTCCATTTAAGATAGTATAGTAGCTAAACGCTGCTTCTCCATATTTAGTCTTCACCTTCGGCAGGACTAACTGACCAGTTCACAATGATCTGAGAGTTCTGCTCGGCTCATATCTCTGCATCATGTGAAAGCAATATGCTGGTCCTGCACCACTGAGTGATTTATAGAGCAGTAACAGTATCTTAAAGTTCTGTAACAGACTGGTAGCCAGTGTAAGGATTTGAGAATGGGGGGTGGTGGTGGTGGGGGGGGGGTGATGTGTTCCCTTCTTTTACTCCTAGTGAGACTCTGGCAGCTGCATTTCGAATCATCTAAAGCTGTTTGATTGTCTGTTTGGGAGTCCAGTTTGGAGATCATTGCAGTGATCAATCCTGCTAGAAATGAAAGAGTGGACCAGTTTCTCCAGGTCTGCTTTAGTCTGAAAATCTCTGATCTTGATGATGTTCTTAGGGTGATAAAGCTGATTTAGTTTAACTTTAGTTTTATCAATCTATGTATTTATCCATTTTATATCTCTGCAACACTGTCAATCTTAAATCCTTGTAAAGGAAATCAAACATGTAAACGTATCTGGGTGCTCCAGAAGAGTGGATTTCTGTGGATGATGCATGTAGTTCTAGTATAAACCCTTATGTAAGCTCAGTTTCATGGATATGTAACCTCGATAAAAAGATATCCTGTTTATTAATTGAATTAGAAGTGATTTTAAAGAAATACTTTTTTACTTTAAATACATTTATGAGCATGCACTTTAATACTTCTGCTTGAGTAAAAAATCTGTCATACTTCAACTTTTACTTGAGTACTAGTACTTTTACTTAAGCAAAGGACTTGTTTATCTCTGCCAACTCTGTTGGCCACCCTCAGTACCATCCTAAACTTACTTTCACTTAACTGCCTGATAGGAACGCTTCCACTCAATCAACCAGGAGAGGGTATTTCAGCTTATGACCACACACACACCCACACACCCAAACACACACGCACACACACACACACACACACACCCAAACACACACACACACACACACATCATCTAAACCACTTATCCTTCTGGGTCATATGGGGAGCTGGAGCCTATCCCAGCTGTCATTGGGCGGAAGGCAGGAAACACCCTGGGCGGGTAGCTTATGACCAGCAGCATTGCAAAACAAAGTAAACAAAAAGTAGCTCTGTTTTCTCTCCAGGGGGGCTGAACCTTGAATTTCTCTCGTGCTCCAGGAATGTAGGCTACAAAAATGAAACTGAGGTGTTCGTTAAGCATTGTTCAAAGACACCAGCTTGCTTGTCACACCGAACACCTTAAGACTTGGAGCTCACAATTGAAAAAAAAATCCTACTTTTATTTCTTACTTTGCACAAACGAGACTGAAGTTAGCTTCTTTTTCAAAGTTTCCATCCCACCTTAAATAGTGCAGCACTTACATTCTGGTATCTGTAAAATGCACCATTTTACCACGGCTCCATTTAAGGTGGAGTGGAAAAGTCAACTAAGCTGCACTATGTAAGTGTTTTAGTTAAAATTGAAAGAAGTTGCATAACTTATTTTGTAAGGAAAAAAATGCTAAAACATGATGTGCGTGAGCTGCTGTGAGTCACTTTGTAAGGCCTGAAAAAATCATTCAATGAATCATTCAAAGTCATCAGAATGGATTTCGTGAGTTTCTCAGACCACGTCTTACCTCTTTACATATTAAACATCACACGCGCAGGCTTGAAGTCTGGCTGGATACTTAAATGCACTAGTAGTGATAAGAACCAGGATTTGCAATGCTATTTTATTGTAATCCAAAATGACCACACTTAGTGTGAGTAGCCTGGATAGTACGAGCTGCTTTCTTTTGCTACTGGCACTCTGTTGATGTCGCTTCTTCAAAACATGGACTGAATCTGTACCATAATTAAGTGTTGAGCTGAAAGCTGGTGCATTAGGTACGTCTTACCTCTTTACATATTAAACATCACACGCACAGGCTTGAAGTCTGGCTTGATATTTAAATACACTAGAACCAGGATTTGCAATGCTATTTTATTTGTAATCCAAAATGACCACTGAACCTACACATCTTCTGAGATTTTATATGTAATGTAGACAATGATAAAGTAGTGGCTAATCTGAATAATAAGTTCTCTTTGGGTACTAGTTTGCCTTATAACATGCTGCATGTACCTCTCTGCGATGAATGGATTAAAAAAAGATATTTTCCAGGCCAAAAGCTCATCTCAAAACTATCTGTCTCAGGTATAAGGCAGCATATTCTTAATCATTTCATGTAATAACTTTCTGTGAGGGAACTTTTATAAGCATTAAACATCTAAAACGTCTGGTTTCTATCACCAGCACTGTGAACAGTTCTGTACATTTCACATCAAACCACTATGAATGACTTTGTTTACATTGAAAAGATGTATTTATGCATGAATTTTGGGAAATTGGAAGGATATAGGCTCATGCATGTGGGTATTATGGCTTAATGGATGGGGCAGGGTTGGACAGTTATTGGCTGCCAACTACTCATCACAGTTTGAGGCAAGTGTGAGATGAATTAGGCAGGCAGTGTGCACGGTGCTAATTGGTGAGTAGCTAACAATTACATGTTAGTACGGAGCCCTGCTGGTGACATCCCATATTAATAAAAATAATATTAACGCGTGGGAACGAGATCCTAATGCGTGGCCACAACTTAGTAAGACATACAAATGAGATAAGTCGTGTCCACAGCTTAGTAAGGCATGGGAATGAGATTGTTGTGGCCACACATTAAGATCTCTTTCCCACACCTTACTAAGTCATGGCCATGCATTAGGATCTCATTCTCACACCTTACTTAGTTGTAGCCATGCATTCGGATCTCATTCCCACACCTTACTAAGTCATGGCCATGCATTAGGATCTCATTCCCATGCCTTACTAAGTCATAGCCATGCATTAGGATCTCGTTCCCACACCTTACTAAATCATAGCCATGCATTAGGATCTCGTTCCCACACCTTACTAAGTCATGGCCACACATTAGGATCTTGTTCCCACACCTTACTAAGTCATGGCCATACATTAGAATCTCATTCTCACACCTTACTTAGTTGTAGCCATGCATTCGGATCTCATTCCCACACCTTACTAAGTCATGGCCATGCATTAGGATCTCATTCCCATGCCTTACTAAGTCATAGCCATGCATTAGGATCTCGTTCCCACACCTTACTAAATCATGGCCATGCATTAGGATCTTGTTCCCACACCTTACTAAGTCATGGCCACACATTAGGATCTCATTCTCACACCTTACTTAGTTGTAGCCATGCATTCGGATCTCATTCCCACACCTTACTAAGTCATGGCCATGCATTAGGATCTTGTTCCCATGCCTTACTAAGTCATAGCCATGCATTAGGATCTCATTCCCACACCTTACTAAGTCGTGGCAACTACTTAATTATCTTGTTCCCACGCCTTACTAAGTCATGGCCACACATATTATACAGGATGTTGCCAGTGGGGCTCCATATGTTAGTTGCATTAACATTGTATATCCTGTGCAAAACTAAAGAGGCAAGATTATGATAACAAATCATGACGACTACATTTCAGGTAAGTAGGTTTCAAACTGTGTACAACTGCTCAGACTCTGCACTGCCACAGCTTAAGAGTAGAGCAACAGCTCTTCACACACACTGCATGTTAACAACTTCCCACAGGAGCAGCTTCGGTCCTATTTATGGAAGCTACTCTGAAAAGGATGCAGGGCATTAGGTATCACAGCTCTTGTTGCTGGAGCTCCTCAGTGAAGTGTTACCAATCTTCTGAGTCAGAGTCACTCAGTGTTGCACATATTTTACCTCTGCTCATTTCCAGGTCGCCTCCCCTCCATTAAGTGATGTACGGCCTACAGTTCAGATGACTCACCGAGTCACATTCATTCTTCAATGAACGGACTCCTTATCTCAGCGCTATCCTCACACTAATAACACACTTAGTGTGAGTAGCCTGGATAGTACGAGCTGCTTTCTGTTGCTACTGGCACTCTGTTGATGTCGCTTCTTCAAAACATGGACTGAAACTGTATCATAATTAAGTGTTGAGCCGAAAGCTGGTGCATTAGGTGCTGTATGGAGCTGCTAAATGAGTTTGGACAAAGTAGCTGGACAACAAACAGGAATACATTTGAGAGCATGAGAGAGGGAGACAGAAAGAGAGAGAGAGAGAGAGAGAGAGAGAGAGAGAGAGAGAGAGAGAGAGAGAGAGAGAGAGAGAGAGAGACAGAGAGAGAGAGAGAGAGAGAGATAGTGAGAGAGAGAGAGAGGTGGAGGGGGGAGACAGAAAGAGAGAGAGAGAGAGATAGTGAGAGCAAGAGAGAGAGAGAAAGAGGGGGGAGACAGAAAGAGAGAGAAAGACAGTGAGAGAGAGAGAGAGAGAGAGAGATAGTGAGAGAGAGAGAGGTGGAGGGGGAGACAGAAAGAGAGAGAGAGAGATAGTGAGAGAGAAAGAGAGAGAGAGGTGGAGGGGAGAGACAGAAAGAGAGAGAGAGAGGTGGAGGGGAGAGACAGAAAGAGAGAGAGAGAGGTGGAGGGAAGAGAGAGAGAGAGAGAGAGAGCATTTTCATAATGACTGTTAGTCATGCACTCACGCTAATGCTGTGCTGAAGCCGTTAGCTGCGCTCATGTATGAACGAAGTTAATATTTACTCCCTACAATTTATCGACATTCTGTAGAATCAAACAGGAAAACAGATGTTCTGAATAAATGAATGATTATGTGAGCGAAAGAGTCCAATCAGTCATGTGTGCAGTTAATTAATCCACTGGCTAACGACTAATTGGCCAGTGTTTTATGGTCAGTACAGGAGCATGGGCTTTAAAGAACGGATGGTGTGAGGTGAGACAGGAATTCTGAGCTGTTTCTTGGTCTCACCTGGTCCCACGGACAGATGATCCCTCCGAAGAACATAAAGAGGTAACCCATGGCAACCAGGCAGCCCCAGATGAGCAAAGAGAAGAGGCGGAGAAGCTTCTTGAAGATGGACTCGATACAGACGAGGATGAAGATGGTGAGGAAGATGGCCAGTGTGGTGGGCACGGTGATGAGGAAGGCCACATGCTCCTCTATGTCCTGTAGAGAGAGAAAAAGAGGTTGCTGTTCACAAAAACAATAAAATGAAGAGCTTTCAGGAGCAAACGAAGAGAGAAAACGTGGTCTATAGCAGTAAAACCAACCACAGCAGCCTTAAATCTGTTTGTTTATGTTGTTGTTTTTGTGGTTGGGTGCTTTTCTAAGAGGTACTGTATGTATGTTTTTAAGAAGAGAAATGACATCAATCTTGAAAGCCTTTTCTGTCTCTTACCCCCCTCCAAATGAAGTACATCAATCTATCTATACTTTATTAATTTAAATAATTTATATCTATTTAGTAAAGTTATCATTATTCACAAATTTATAATTCAGTTCGATGTGAAACAGCGCTGTCTAGATTCAGTACATTTGTTGACAAAACTGTCACTGGGGCAGTACCCCTCTTGTCACTGGGGTGGGACCCTTTTAGTCAGGGAACATAATTGTACCATAATCCATTGGAATTAAGTTGTGTTGACTCCACGCACCCCGTCTCGTCTCCAGGCTTTTTATTTTATTGTTTCTGTTTTACAACATTAGATTATGAAAAGATACAAATATGTACTTTTCACCTGGGAAAAAAAAACAATATTTAACCCTCTATTGCATGAATTATTACTTAAACATGATAAAAATGTTTTAATGTGTTTTTGAAATTTAAATAATGGAAATATTTGAAAAAAAAAAAATTTAAAGTGGGATATTTGGCAAATTGTTGCCATATGGCAACAATGCACAATCATACCATAGCACCATGAAATAAAATCTATTTTTTCTCTAAAAACGTCCTTTTATTGAAAACAAGACCAAACAAATCCAACTTATAATTAGTGAAATGTATGACCCAATATTTACAAATAAAATGGAAATTAATACAATTTCAGTTGGTATTTGGAATGTATGGTAATAACAACATCATAATAAGAATCTCTGGTCATGTGATGTCATAAAGTATTTGTCCTTTCAAAGTAAAAGACCATTTTTCCACAATTAAATAGGAAAACACAGATTTTGTTTTACTGCTTTTCAGTAAAATTAAGATATGGCAACACCATGCAATAGAGGGTTAAAGTTCACAGTTGGACCTTAAAAACACTGTTGTACCTTTGAGGGAACATTTACATTGTTTGTACCTTGATGAATGAAAAATGTAGCTAACAGTAACAGTAACAGTGTAGCAAAATAAAAAGTATTGCCTTATGTTAATATTTTAATGTTTCCATTCCCTACATTAATACAGCATTCAACACACATACAATATTTGTACTTCCTTTGAATGGCACAGTGGAGTTTTGCATCCATTCAGACTGTTTCTTAACAGCATATACTGGACCAAACACTAGACCAAAGCTGTGCTTCACAGGACCCTGATCTAATGCACTTGCCACAGGCTGATATGTAAGCCCTGGGCTTATGCACTAGAGACATGATGCAAAGATACAATACAAGTTGTGATATGATATGTTATGACACAACACAATATGTTAAATTACAGTATGATGTCACAGTACAATGTGATATGATATAATACAGTACAATATGTTATCATATGGTACAACAAGATACACTATTATACAATATGGAACAACGTGTTATGATCCAATACCATACAATATAATACATTATGACATATGACAATGCAATATGATACAATACGATGTGCTGAGAGTATGATATGTTGTAATGTAATACAATATGTTATAATATGACATATTATGATACATTATGATATAATACAATGCAATAACACTGTGCAATGATATAATTTGATATATTAAGATACAATAAAGTACAATAAAATTAAAATATGGGATGACACAGTATGATATGTCATGATACGATAAGTTAAGATACAATATGGTGTAATACAATAGGTAATGTTGCAATATGATATGTTACAATATAATCTGGTTCAATAAGATTTGTTATGATACAATATGTTATGATGTAATATATGTCTCAATACAATGTAATGACACAATATGATACAGCATAATACAATACATATGACACAATACGACACATTAAGATACAATACAGTATAATACAATAGGTAAAGATATGTTATGATACAATATGCTATGATGCAATATGATATGGCTCCATACAATGTTATAATGGAATGCGATACATTATAATACAATATGTTATGACACACTGCAATATGTCATGATACAATACAATACATAATAGTGCAACACAATACGTTATGCTGCAGCTCGATACAATACAATACACTATGCTATGACAGAATACGATACATAACTACAATGTGATATGATACAATATGATTCAATACAATAAGCTATGAGACAATGTGATACATTATGAAACAGCACAATGCAACATGTTATAGTACAGTATGATATGAGATAATACAACATGATATGCTGTATTGTTACACCTCTACTCTCTAAGTGTATTACATATCCATAAACACATTACAGACAGTATATTCACCATTGAATATGTTCACAGGCGATCTGGAGGATTAAGTTTGGAGTGATATGCCCTAACAAACCTGCATGACACACTTTAGGTCTATATCTAAAGCTTCCAACACACACATTAGCCAGGAGGCAGACAACATGTGTATGAAATATTCAGAAGTCAACATGACCTTTATACATTTTGTCTCTCCTCTCGCTCCTCTTCTGTCTGTGCATGTGTGTCGGGGGCGTCGCTCTGAAATGCATGAAGTTTTATCCTCAGGGTCACACTGTTACAGCACAGACAGTACATTCCAGAGAAGCAGAGACGGAGGAGAGGCCTCACACATAGAGAATTCCAAACATATTCTCATCTCAGAGGAGTTTCTAACAGTATTTTTGACTTTTTCAGAATTCTTTTTCAGTGATTTCCTCATCGTTCAGCATATGCTCGGTGTGTGTGTGTGTGTGAGTTATGTTTTAGGTAAATGGCCTGGTGTGTATGGGTGATCTGATTAGTGGGTAAGAGTTGGAGCCAGTAGAGTGAGTCTAAAATAATACCGTCAGCGCTGAATGAGTCACCAGACGTAAGGGGAGACACCCGCGGGAGCAGGAAAACACTCGCACACACACTGAATCTCAATGAAGTCTGGAGGAACTCACACTGCCTCACTGTCTCCATCACTACCACACTTACATTCACATAAAACTTGCATCTATCTATCTATCTATCTATCTATCTATCTATCTATCTATCTATCTATCTATCTATCTATCTATCTATCAACAGGTCTGTGTATATATAACACTTCTGCACACTTTATTTATCTAAATAAATATTCTGCACACTAAATTTAAACCCTTAAAATATCAGGATTATTGCATACTAAGGCTTGTTATTCAGTAACTGGACTTCAATGCAAACTGGCTGAGCTATTCTTAGGTTATGGAAGTCTGAAATAAAACTTTGGGCCTCCTGACCGTTTGTGAAAAATAAAAAATAAATAAAACATAAAATATGGCCTCTACAAACATTTTGGTTTATTTTATATTTCATTTATATTTTTTTCCAATATGTCAAAATCAGCAAATAAATAGAAAATGTCATATTTGAGTTTGTTCCCTGCAGAGAATAGGATTCTAGATATATAGATACATAGCTTGACAGGTCAGATGTTAGAAATGGAAAACAGTGGCTGCTCTATGCAGTGTTGGCTTTACCTAATAAGTGACATAAGCAGCTGCTTAACTCCCACTAACAGCTTCTGGGTTATTACTGTACTGTTAAGATGCTCAAGTAAAGAGAAAAAGATCAAGTCTAAAAAAAGTATGCATCTGCAGCCAACAAAAGAAATAGAAAAGGAAATGATGAGAAGAAAAAGCTTAGAGATAAAGGTATGTTTTTCGTGTGGTGTTTTGTTGTTTTGGCTTGTAGTTGGACAACAAGAAGTAGTGGATCTGGAGTCTGTCTAATGAAGCAGGTTCAACTTAAACTTTCTGACTTTTCAGTTTCAGCTTCACAAAACCTAACAAACAGATGTGGTGAACTCATTTTACAACAGCAGTTCACAACTGTCTCTCTATAAATAGTAGGCATCTGGAGCCAACAAATGTTGCTCACTAGGTAGAGCCTGCACTGCATAAAACTGATAAAACTGCCACTGTTTTCCATTTCTGACATCTGACCCTATAAGTGTATATATATATATATATATATATGTACATATAATATCAGAAAGACAGAGAGTTTTTCACTCCTAGCTTTGACTGAGTATATATGAATATGCTAAACGAACACATCAAAATCCAATTAGTGCTTTCAGTCTCTGATTGCATGATTAGCCCTAGAACAGTAGACTCTCTGCATTAACCTCTGTCACCGCAGCGCTGCTGGATGCCTATGTTATCACTCCGAGCCGGAAGCTGGCAGAGCAGCCTCTCTGCTCCCAGCGAACAGAGGGCAGAACTCACGCAGCACACTGATTGAGCTTTTGAACCCATTTAAATCCATTTAAACCCATTTTACAGCCGTTACAAAAGCCAACGGTCTCCTCATCACCAGGCTGTTTTGTCACTATAGAGGCTCTTCCTGTTCATCTGCCTGATCTACACTTCTGTCTGACTGCACACTGTGTGTGTGTGTGTTTGTGTTGTTGTATTTTATGCATGTAAGGGAGAGCGGGGCACAAGCAAACGTCACCAAAGAATTTTGACAAAAATCAAAAATCAAATATTTCACCCTAAAAACTGTTTTTGTACCATAAATGCAACTTTCTGCAATACGTACAATGCAAATATATATATTTTATTTACTATCCAAAACCATCAATGAATATACACATGAGTTTTTTATATGTAACGTCAAGAATGATAAAACTAAAAATAAAGTTTTCTTTAGGCACTCTCTTACCCTGCATACACCTGTTCCCCAGAAATGGCTTTTAAAAGATTGATTTTAGAGCAAAACCTTCTCCAAACTGTCACAAAACAATGTCTCAGGCATCAAGCAGTGTATTCATAACCATTCAATCCTAACAATCATGTAATAACTTTCTGTGATGTAACTTTTCG